CCTTACTCCTCTCTCCCTCTCTAAAATTCAAGAGGCCACCAATTGTATAACTGAGAGTCACTCAAACTCAGTGAGCTGCTAAGGCTGCCAGCTGACATGCCACAAACCATTTGCTCCCCTTCACTACAGCTCTTTGCTTTACCTGGTTATTACTACTCTGATGTTAAACACAGAGCTCTGCCAGCAGGAATCAATGCAGCACCACGTTGATCCTGTGTGTATTTCTCCAGACAGTTTGCTCCACAGTCCACTGCCTGCACTGCCATGGCACAGGGACAGTGGCAGGATGTAATGCAGTACCATGCCATCACCAAATATTTCTCTCTCTCTTCCCCTAAGTATGGAGCAACTCCATGCTACAACTGAAAGAACAAAGGAAATACTATGTTAAATACACAACAAATTTATCCTGTTTTGGCTTACTGGAAGAAAAGATAAAATGCTAACATAAATTGTAATGCCTATGTTTTAGTAGTGCCTAACAAATAGGTTTTTAGTTCTGTTCATGTGCATAGTATTATTGAGATAATAGTATATAGTCAGCACTGTAAGGACATATCACCATCCTTAGCTATCCCTAATTTGATCTCATCCAGCACATATAAATCAGAAATTCCATCCTAGATTAAGAACAGAAAAGCTTCAGATTGAAACCATCATTGCAGATCTTTTGTTTGGTTGTTGGTTTTTGCTGATTTTTTTTTGATCATTCATTTTGTCACTGTTCCTTTTATTTACATGGGCTTGGAGAAGGGCACTCAGGAGAGCATAAATGAAACCTAAGCAGGAAAATCATCAAGGACGCTGTTAAATGAGTTTTTCAATATACTCTTCAAGAAAAAGAAAAGCAATTCTTTCTATTGCCTTTGCACAAGGTTGGGCATAACACAGCCCTTTCATTGCTGTGGTACAACAGGATATGCCATGAAATAAAACGAGGTGATACTAGGTGTAAATCTTTAGAGGTTTAACTTATTCTTATATCAAATGCCTCCACAAATGCTTTGCTCCACCACTTATCTAGATTAATGTAAGTGATTTGCATTGCTACATTATTACTCCCTGAAAAAAGCACAGTATCTCAGAATTTTAAGCCTGAGCACAATAACAAAATGTTTCTAACTCCCAAGTCAAGAAAAAGCCAGCTGACCTGCGATGATGCTCTCAAAATAGACAATGCAGCTCACAGGAAACAATTGCTAGAATATGTTCCCCCCAACAAAGGAAACAAATAAATACGCCCTCGATGTGCACACACACAATTGATCAGTGTTCAGTTGCTAAGGTCACTGCTTAATCTAAATTGCAAGTGAGATCAATGGCATTAAGAGTTATGGATTATCAAGATGTCTGCTTAGTTATTGAAATTTTCTGCGTTAGAAACCCACTGCAAAGCCAATAAAAGAGGCCTCTAAATGCTTCTCTTCAGGATGCCACGGGTTCTGCAGTCTTTCAGGGCCCAGTGGTGAATTAGGAGGGGTAAGGTGAGAACCAAACACAACAGATTCTATACAAACAGGGAGATCTGGTCTTGGAGAGCAGGGAAGACTCCATGGCAGCCACACAGAGATGCCACCCAAGGAACGAGGAAGGCTTTTCATCCCACAGATCTACAAAGACCTACGTTAAGGTCCAAGGGCAGCCTTGAATTGGTGTCTTCTCACATTCACCTACAGCATCATTTTCAATCTGAAAGACTTAACAGAAAATTGGTTTGAGTCTTTTCAGTATTTTTCAGGTTTTTCTTTTTAAAGGATGGGCCAAAATCCAGCAGTAGGGGTAGGTGGAGCTCCTGCCCCAAAAGCACAGGCCCTACTCAGCCATATCACTGACCACTGAGAAATGCAAACCTGGCCCCAGTCTAACCCTGTATTGCCTGCTCTAACACAGGAGATGCCCATATCCCTCAGATCCTCCTCCCTGCTGGCAGCACCAGGCCAGATACATGATGCCTGTCCTGCCCTTGTATTGCCACAGCTTCAGCAAGATGATTAACGCCACTCTAAAATTCCTTGTGGATGGATTAGTGTAATGACATATTCATTTTCACGCTGTTGAACCTGTTTTAGCAGCAAGGAAATTATCACATATCGCCTGAGGGAACCTGTAAAATACACAGCAATAAGCAGCAAGCAGAGGGCCACCATCACCCTTTCGTCCACAGCCACATGCAGGCAGCAGCTTTACAACACACAAATAATTGCCCTCTTAGAGCATAAGCATGCAGGGTGCACCTCGGGGAGTACAAATTCTAAACAAAGATATAGTCAGAAAATTGGTACAGTTTCACATTTCTGTCAAGTGCCCGTTAACATATCATGATTTGGCTTTTAAAATTCAAATCAGTGGAAACTATTTGTTGAATTGTTGCTGTTTTATGGAAGCCGTCCTCTGGCAGACCTTGGGGTCTCCAGGAACCCTGCCCATCACACACAGCCACGGGGTCACCCAGAGAAGCCTGCAGGATGCTGTCCCTTGTCTGGGGACCCCACTATAAAAAGCCTGCAAGCAGTGACAAGAAAATGCACTTAGTCTACAACACTTTGGGCTTTAAACAGAGCAGACGTATTAGGATTTGATAGAACAGGCTGGCAAGACTGAGTGTGAGCAGCCTGGGACTCTGCAGTGCTGAGCACAGCCCTCAGGTCAAAGGCTGGGAGACACAATCTCATTAAAAAGGCTGAAGTAGAGGAAATGAATGGATGAGCAGAGTGGCTCATTTTTGCCCATTTCTTGGGGGACTGGTTGGTAACATGAAAGATGTCTGTTTATGTCATGCTTGAGGAGGTGAATGCTTTGCAGGTTATCAACCATCAAGCTTCAAGAAAAATCCTTTTAGTTTTCAAGACCTAAGCAACTTCATTTTAACACCTTCACACTGTTGCTTCTAATACAAAAATCACTTCACTTGTGCACTAGTCTACATAACCTAGAAAGCATGCTACAATACAATTCATGCAGTACACTTAAAAACAAAAACTAGAAACAGATGCAGAATGCATCACATCCATCTCTCTCCCTGACAACACAATTGGGAATGGATCAGCTCTCCAGATTCTTGCTAGCTCTATCCACAGTGGTTCCTTAAATGACAAGTTACACTCACTAGCAATATTTCAGCACTTCTACCAAATTATTAAGTGCCTGTGATGCAGCTCATAAGCAGATCATCATAATCACAGAGGAGACTGAAATGCCTCAAGAATCTATTTTGCAGAAAATTGTGCAGAGGCAAAGCACTTGCAGAAGTTTAGCACCTCACTGTGCAGGCAGCTGCCATAAATGTGATGAAATGAAAAATAATCCAGCTTGCACACTATTATTTTCTGTGTTCCTATTTGGGTTGACCTGATAAACAGAAATTACAGAAAAGTGCATGGTGGTCCAAAAAGCATTTTCATAAGGGGCTGATTATAACAACAAAGAACTGTTTGGACAGTAATACAAGGAGAGGAGAATGGAAGAGCTATCTTTATCCTACAGATCTCTCCAATTCCCATCTCTATATTTATTATGATCTCTGATAAACTTGTGTTCATAGTGCAAAAAGTGCAAACACAGAGAAGTTCAGCTTTAGAGAAGGCTGCAGGTGAGCAGACTGCTCATCTCCAAGCATAATGAAGATGTACATTTTGGTTAGCAACAGTCCAGATTGGGTTTTGATGCTGCATCAAGCAATTCTACTAATATAACTTAATTGTTTACTCCATTACTCTGTTGTTTATCTTACCAAAGAGATTCTTAAACACCCATTTTCAGCAGTCAGCTCTGCCTGTCTGTACACTTCTCAAATGAGTTCTCATCTCTTCATGCAGCTTTTAGAGAATGACCAGAATATCCTCTGTTCAGAAAATTCTTTCTAGATGACAGAACTTGCAGGCTGCTGTCAAACAGACCTTCAGACACTTATTTTCCATACCAACTGTATACACTTAAAAAGAGCAGATATAGTACAGTACCATAAAGGAGCAAAGACTTGAACTAACCCTATGTCACAGCAAGCATGTAACTTAAACTAGAGCTTAGGACACCACTTTCTGATCAAAATTCTCAGAAATATGTTGGTGAATTTACATTTATATATTTCCTAGGTATGAAACTGTAGATGATTTTTGAGTAGAGTTTGCTGATAGCTATTCATTCTCTGTACCAGCAGAACACATCTATTTTTTACATTCCCATCCATGATTCAGAGTATCCTCCTGCTGACACCAGCACCTTCTGACATTTCTGAATGTCAGATTAAGCAGAATAGCTGTATTTCCCATGGTGTCTCCAATCTTGTAGCATGCTTGTCACCAGTCACCAACCTGTATCTGTGTGGTGGAGAAATCCACTCTCCAGAGAGTTCCCATTTAATATTCTCAACTGTGCTGTGACCTTTTCCATTAATAGATGTCACAGTAAGGGCATGCCATTATTGCCAAGCCACAGCAGCACAGTGGTTAATCACCCACAAGACAGGCATCACCCAAAGCTCTGACACAAATATCCAAGGACACGTGTCCTCTTGTCTAGATCTGAGATGGGAGGACACAGCCTGGGGGTTTTCCCAGCAAAATTCCCTGAGGCCATTTAACAGTCAGTGCAAAGCTGAAGGAAAGAAAAATTAGCTTTGAAATGAAGATAACTGAATGTTTCTTTAGCAAAAATGAAACCAAGCTGAACTTCTTCACTACTGACAACTACAATGCAGCATCTGAAGAGGAATGAGCAAAATGATTCTCTTGAGGAGCAAGAAAAAAAAAACTAAATATTTAGTAATTTAAAAACAGTGAAGAAGATCAGTGCAGTAATAACACTAGTGTAGTCCAAGCTCCCTCTTCTGGTCTTCCAGGGGAAATGTAGTGGAGCAAGGAGGTCTCTATCTAGCAATTAGTTTCAAAATCTAGCCACAAAACACTCACACAACTTAGGCAAAGAACCCAATATTTTCTTAAGACAAAAACATACAGATGTAGAAATTTACTTTAAATGCATGAAATAGCACTGAACACTACCTCTTTATCTCCTCTGTGACACTTTCAGCTTCTTGAGGAGGCAGCTCTACTTCACCACCAGGGGCTGCAGCCACCAGCACATCCCCAGAAATGAGCCCAGCAGCTTCTTCACAGCTATCAGACTTGGAAGTGCTGGAAAATAATTATGAAGAATCATCAGCAGATAAATTTAAAAAGGCCCACGGACCTGCAGTGAAATCTCTTGAAAAGATCAGTTTGACTAGATCTGAACTTCAGGAGCACACTGTTCCAACTCTGGTTCTCTCCCCCCTGCCTCCCATAAATTACTTCTTCCTACAAAGCCCACTGAAATTCTCTGATGACGACATGAAGAGCAGTACTGTTGCAAAGCTTTGACAGCTTCTTACAAACCAAAGCATTATCTTCCAGAGGAATTCAAGACCTGTTCTGTTTGCTGCATGCAATGAAGATGAATGGCAGAAATCCCTAATTACCTCTGTACAGGTCTCACAGAGACCTTTCTCCTCATGATAGATTATAAAAACCTCAGTTTAAGTGACTTCAAAAGAAACCAAAGGAGCATTGCAGCCACCAAGTGCTTCCCAAGGGCAGCTCTGATACACCAGGGGGACAGAAGTGCCCTGAGGCAGCTTCCCAACTTGTTTCTGCAGGTTCAGACCCAAGGAAATGTTGATGGAACCAGGCCAGGGGTGAGAAGCTGCTTTTAGGCTTCCTAAGTTAAGTATTAATGGCTATTTCTGTCATTCCATCCTTTAAATTTAATTTCCTCTCCCCGCCCCCAGTAGTTATACTTGACTAACTGCATTACTGGATGAGAGTTGGTAAGGTTCAGGGACAAATTGTTCCTTTCTTTAGAAACATCTATACAAGCAAGGACAACCATAAATCACATCTCTCTAACTTTAGCCACAGCATCTATCAGCATGGAGACAGTGATTCCCCAAAGTGTTTATCCACACAGACCACAAGCACTTAAAAGTGGTCTACATAATTAGCTCACATGCACAAAGTAGCTCTGTGCCATATGGGCTAGCTATTATGTTATTTCTTCCAAGAAATTAGCCAATTATCTCTGCTCTGAGCATTTCTCTCTCCCTTCCTTCCTTTCCCACCCTGTCCTGACACCGACGCAAACTTCCCGACTCTCCAGTCCCATCAAGTCCTTTATTTAAAAGCAAGCTGTTTCCTTTTTCCACAGGGAAGACTCTTCCCTTTACTAAAAATGTCTTTATCCTAATACAGAAATGGCATCGACTACATACAAACGCAGTGTGACTATATAGGGTCACGTGGAGATGAGAGAAAGTTAAGATTTTAAAGGAAAAAGTGAACTGCTAAAAATAAGAGAATGCTGACCACCCGTTTGGAGAGCAAACAAAGAATCACCAAATACAAACACTTCCAAGTGGGCCTAACTAAGCAAGCATACTGAATGTACACACAGCTATGGACATTATGTTGTGCACACAAGAAAGCATCCCAGCCAGCTGTTTGCAGTAGCATTCACATCTCACTGCTCCTTGCAGTCCCTCAGCTCTCCCCTTCACACCTTTCCATATAAAAGGAAAACATCTTCAGCAATATCCTTTGACTGATGCCACTGCTAACACTCTGCAAAGCAAAACAAGCTATCAGAATAGGTGTTTTTAGAAGAGTTCTGCTTCCTGGAACTTGGGAAGCACAGGCCTTGCTTTTACAAGCTGCAACACCAACGTGTGTTAAAGCCCACAACAAACCACGCATTGGCTACTCTTGATCCTGCTGAGTTCAGCTGATCTGAAAGCACACTTTTCCTCTGCCTCTGTGTATTTTTCAGCAATTCTCAAAAGCCACCTCCTGATGCTTCGTGTGCTCCTCCAATCCCCAACACATCTCCCACAAAACAGGAGTGCTGCACCTGCAGTGTAAGCAGGAATATGTCCAGAAAGAATTTCTCCTAGAGCTACATGTACTGATAAAAAAATACTTGGCCAAGCAGCCAGTGAACTCTTGACCTAATTCTTTTCAGTGCCCTGAATATCTGTATATACAGTAAATAAAATGCAGTATTAAGCAGATGTGATGCCATGATGCCCCTGATCAATACATTACCAGCAGGGGAGGAAAAGCAGTCCCTGAGAAACAAAACAAAGATACAGTTTCTTGACTGACAGATGGATGAACAACCTGATCTCTTATTATGCACTGCCATCTGGAAGACATTTGGCACAAACTGACCCCTGCCTTACATGCACCATTATTTTCCCCTGACAAAGTGCCCACCATCTGCATTATATGATGCTCCTGATGGGGAAACAAAAGGAACTTCTTAGTAGAAAACTAAATACATTGCAAGAAAATCCACTTTGTAATCACATTTTATTGCAGATAGACTGGAAAGGATTATGTCACCTAATAACCCTGGCAAGTACAACACACAGGTGTAAGCAGGGAGCATCAATACAGTGACATCACATGTGTGTGCACTGGAGAATTTCTCTGCAGTCACAGTGAAAGCAGTGGTACAGAATTTCTACACAAAAACAGTAAAAAAGAAAAAAAAAAAAGATAAGCAAATACTTGCTCCCTGTCACAGGTAAAGAGATGAGGAATAAGACAAAGACACAAAGCAACAAACATCACTCAGATTCCCCTTGGACAAGAAAAGCTCAGTCCTGCAGTCATTGATCCCAAAGGTGGGCACAGCCCCACGTGCCATAGAAGTACTGCTCTCACTGGCTTTCAGCATTACACTGTTACCCAGTCAGCTCTGAACAAAACACTGTAGGTCACTGCTGGAAGCTGGGAGCCTGTTTCAGGCAGGAGTGGAAGTGATGCAGCTGCACAAGATGAACCCAGCCTGCCTACCAGCTGCATCTGCAGGTGGGATCACGTGTGAGCTGCTGCATTTTAGCACCAGACATACAAGGAACACTTCTGCCAGGTGCACACCACCTGCAAAGCTGGCAGGCTGGCCAGGAAAGGCAAGTGAAAGAACAGGCAGGTTTTTATGTCAAAGCAGATACAAAAAGGAAAAAAGAAAACTATACTGATAACAACTGTACAGATTTCGGCTTTTTAAAATTCAAATCCAACAAACAGATGACGACTACCTGCAGCCAGATTCAACCTAGCTGACCGCTGTGCATTTTTTCTCTTGCCTACCTGTTTCAGCAACTGAAAGGCTATCACTTCCTGCAAGCTGCATATCCCTGGTTTGCAGCCTTTATCAGTGACCCCTTGCAGAAATCCGTGCACTTTTACCAGGGGTGGGATACAGAAAAGAGAGCACTGAAACCAGTCCCAGGCACTGACTGCTGTAGGTGTGCCCCATCGCTGCTGTGGGCTCAGCACCTTCTGCCCAAGACCAACTCTTGCATGCTTCAGGTAAAAACCATCTTTAAGACAGAACGTATAAAGCAGACCAAAATAAAAGGCATAATATAATGAACCTTAAAGCTCAGATCAAAACAAGAATGTGAACAGTATGAATCCATAAGGTTTACAGGAAGCAGTAAATTAAGATACTGTGAAGACTAATATTCTAAGATGTTTCCTAAGGTGACATGCCTTTTTGCCTACAAATGGCAAATTATCTCCTCAGGGTCAAAAGAGTTTTGTAATTTAGACTGTATTCAAGAGACCTGATGTAAATCTTCGTGGTACATTCAGTAGTAGGTTTGGTTTTTTTTGTTTTTTTGACTCCACTGCACTCAGTACCTCATAGCTCCTCCTCAGTTACTGCTCACTCTTTTCTATTGTTTGCTATTATGACAGACGATGCATTAATAAGAGAAAAACAGAATCCCTGGAACAAAATTAATCCAAATAAATTTATTAAATACAAAGAAGCACAACAATTCAAGTAAAAACTTACAAGAACTAGAAGAAATCCACACCACGAGCTGCCTATGTGAGCTTCTCTGGATCCCCTTGTCTACTCTTGGTTGTAGGAAGAAGTTTGTTTCTCAGCTTCACTCAGCATTAGCAGTCTAACTAGCTTGGGGACAGGTGGAAGACAAGCAACAGCTCCACACCAAGGCTACCCAGCTTTTAAGGTGGATTGTGCAAACCCCACAAGGTTCTTTCTGCCTTTGATAGTGTATTACTACTACTTTAGCTAACCAGTTTAATGCTAGCTTAAATACACTATACATGTTTACACTCCTCTGAATTCACGGTGACTGAAGGTTAAACACACCCTACAAGGCTGTTGGCAGGTAAGGCAAATTTGTACACCCAAAGATCTTGACAACCCAACTGCCACCAGCACAACAAAGCAACAGACTTCCTCCTCAAATAAAAGCAGACAAAAAGCTCTGTGTCCAACAGAAATGAGATAATTGAATGCTTGATCGTCAGCATCCTGCTGTTAAGGAACTTCTCAAGAGTCAGAAAGCTCTGAAGGATCAGTTACCCTGTATTCTAATCCCCTCCAAAAAAACAAACTAAGAAAATACAGTACAAGCATCTAAAAATAATAAATGCCTGTATTGGACCTTCGCATAGTCCAGCCCTCTGCTCCAAAGTGATTCACTCTTAGAGAAGGGAAAACAACATCCCCTTTTGAAGGTTTTACTTGAGCAAAAAAATTTAAATCTCGGTAAAGATTATACAACACTCCACCAGCTACAGATTCAGCAAACCCTTCAGCAAGTGGCCGTAGCAGACATATATTCAACCAGCAAGAGAGATGGCAGTTTCTCAGCTATTGCTGAGTTCTGTGTCCCTCCTCACCCCTCCCGGCACCCCACCATAATGCTCTCACAATACCTTGCTGCAGTCAGCTCAGCAGCATCCGTGGGCTCAACATTTCCATAAGCCGTAGAAACAGCTTGGGATTGCTCAGGAGGACCAAGGGCAGAAGCCAACTGTATATCATCACCTGGCCCAGGAGGGCTGCGGAGAGAAAAGACATGGAAAAAGGCAGCCTTAGAGGTCTGAATTATGGCAGTGTTACTGTCACTTGGCTGGCTGAAGCCCTTGCTGTTCAGCATGTCTGTGCTGACTTGTGTGCTGGGGAATGCAGGGAAAGTTGGTATTTTTAATATAAGTTGCTGTTGTGTACAGCTTTATTGTTCCCACAAGACTGAAGTCACTGGAATTTTGACTGTGTTACAACTGCAGGAGCAATGAGATAATACAATCCAGCAGCAAATTAAACCAATTGTGATTCTGATTTTTAAAAGCAAGTGAGAAAATAAGCTACTGCTTGAACCAGAGAAACAGTAAGGCTGCCTCGACACAGCCACCTACTACCAGGGAGCTGGAGCCCAGCTTCCACCACCCCAGAGCTTGCTGTGCATTTTAGGGCACAGGGAGCACAGGCCTGTCCCAAAGCTGAGCTAGCAGGGAACCCCCAGCAGGAGCACAGGTGGAAAGGAAGCAATCTAGAAACCCACACTGGAATCAAAGAGGAAAGTTTCCTTGCTAAAGAAGGGTTTTTTGTTTGTTTGTTTTGAATAAAGGCACCAAAACACAGGAACCTCCTGAAAGCAGTATTTTTGTTACCTATTTCAATCTGACTTTCCCCTGTGACCACCCATAGATCAAAGCCCTGGAAGTCTCACATTTCCCTGGAGCTCACCACAGTCCCCAGTTTTCTCTAAAGCAAAAATGTTACCTCCAGTCAGGGCTGCAATTTCACACCTGCGGGTTCTCCCGAGTGGCTCTCAGGTGCCACTTTTCTCAGCTCTATCCTGTCCATATCATTCCCACTCCTACCAAGTGAGTACATCCCTGTACGTACACAGCCAGGACTGCACACGGATGGATTTCAATGGAGGCGTATAAACCTGTATCAAGCTGTTCCCTAGTACTTGGAATTTCAGCTCAAAAATGAAACTCTAAATCACATAACAGCTTTAGCACGGGATGGTTACTCCCTTATCTAACTGCAAATCCAGCAGTTCTGTATGATTTTGCACTGTAGTTCAAAGAACATAGGAAGGAGTTAAAGTGCACTATAATAATGTCAACATCATCCTGGAGTTAAAGTGCACCGTAATAACGTCAGCGTTATCCCAGTAATGACTACAGACTGCCATCTGAGCACACTCACATTTCACATCCTTTATCTAAAGAATCCTGTGAAGCAGCACATCCATCTGGGAAAAGCGATGTGTCAAGCCAGCTTTCTGCTTTGCTTTTTACATTTCTGATCCTTTGTATGTCAGTGTTACCACAGATGACTGTGCCCAGCACCAGCTTGGTTCCCTAACCCAGCGAGAAGCGCTTGCTCTCAGCCACTCGTGCTGGCTGCGTGACAAACTCGGGTTTGTAAATCAAAACTCAGGGATGGGGAAGGGGACGGTGCAGCCGTCCATCAGCAGGCCAGGCAGCTCAGTGCTGACACACCACTAAGTCAGCCCGAAGCTGCTCCGACGGGTTCCACCACCGGCATTCCTGGGCCTGGCAGCCACCCTCCCTCACGGGCACCCGCCCGTCCCGCACCAAGGCCTCACAGCCCTCAGGCCGAGCCCTTCAGCATCCCAGCCCTGCCAAAACACCGCCAGCTTTTTCCATTCCGATGCCCAACTTCTGGAGGAGGATCTACTGAAAATGATTTCCAAATTCAACTTGTGACAAGCGTGACTGAAATACTTCTTAAAGGAAAATACTTCACAGTTTAACAAGCAGTTGCTTACTAACAGCTGCAGCTAGCACACTGAATTCAGCCCTGACAGCGTGGAGCTCAGCCTGCTCCAAGCTGCACACAAGAACGATGCTGACCACTGAGTACCCACAGGAGTTTCAGCTCTAAAGACTCTACTTATTGTCAAAAAGATTTTTTTCAAATCACTGTTAAGACGCAAACAGCAAGCTCTGGTCAAAGCTTGACCCATACCACTCACATGCATTAAATGCCAATGAATGAATGAGAAATAACCACGTAAGCCTATATAACTACTTCTGCTTAAACATTTGAGGTCTGGCCTCTGTTTATGTAAGAAGCTTTTGGAACAAGGCGGGCAGTGTACTTCAAATATGTAAAAAAGCACAGCCTTAAACACACGTGAAGGCAAAGCAACAGGTTCCACTCCAGGTCACAGACAGAGGCAGGACAGTGAGCCCTGACAGCTCACCTACTGACAGCAGGGAGAGGCAAACCTTTAAGCCCTAGCTTTAGCTGAAGCTTTAAAACTTTTTGACAGTGGTGCTGGAGACAGAAGGCAGTTGCAGGTCTTGGCATTTTCTCCCCATCCATGTTTTTCCAATCAGGAGAGCTGGATGTGACTCCCTTTGAACAGTCAACAATGGCAGCTCCAAGTTTACTGCAAGGGAAACCAATAAGCATTTCAAGCCCCTCTATCTCCCAGCCCCAGACATTTGGTTGCTTTTAATGAGATAACAGGAAGATTTATAGGTCCTGCTCTTACTCCAGAAATCTCTGGAAAAGAGCATGAAGCACCCTAAGGAAGTGCTGCTCTCAGCATCCTCATGGCTCACTATTTCAGTTTCCTCAAGAAACAAGAAGTTACTCAAAGGATAGAACAAGGCCAATAGAAAAAATCCTCCAGGGTTTGTACTTGGCTTTACAGTCACTCTTAACAATTTTCTTAGCCTCAGTTTACACAAGCATAAGAAAAAACTCCTAACTGACCGCAGAAAAATGATGAGGTTCATTATTTCTGAAATGCACTTAGATGCCACTAGATTTCTTTTCCTAGGAAATTGCAGTCTATTATCAGTTTAAATTCACGCACACATTCTACCTTATCGAATTTCTTCCATTTATTAATTAATTTTTCTCTTCTCTTACTTTATTTTGCAGTTTATCTCCTACTTTTCCACACTCACTGAAGTGACCTCACATGGAGAAACTCCAAGGAAGTGCTACAGTAATGTTCTTTGAAAGTGTTTTCATGACTCCTGGGACTCCTGCTGATAGATTTAGCAGATTAGGAGGTAAGAAGCTATTTCTTAAATTAAAAATCAACCTCACTGATATAAAAGAGAAACTAACCTTGCATGGGAAACAGCTTAGGAGTACTGCACAGACCGCCAGCACAGGATTAAATCCAAACAAACCATTGCTCTTTCCACCCCAACGGTGCTTCTGAGATAAGGGAAGCTCCAACATTATCAAGATTTTAGGAAAAATATATGATGCTAAAACTGAAATGTAAAGCCCAGCTGTGTTTCCTAGTGACCTCAGCGGACCATAGAACCCAGCAATGGCTTTATAGGGTAAGTCCAACCACCAGCAAAGTTTGACAAAGACTAGCAGTGGCTGCAGGGTCACAGATGCTTTGCAGGCTGCCACACGTGGGTGAAAGCAGGTAAACAAAGGGCTCAGCCAGGAGCTCAAGCATAGGGAAATACACTGCCTCCTGTAAACCCAACAAAGATCCACTAATACTTTCCAATACATGATTTTGGAAAAATCTTTCCAATTTCTTACACATTCTGAAAGAGGAACTGTGTCATAAGCGCTTCAGAAGAGCATCCTCCACTCAGACTGTAGGATTTAAAGAGGAGTCCTTCTCTGCCAGGTGCTGTGCAGTGAGATAACCAGGAGATGAGGTGCCATGGGGTGATTAAACAAGTAGTTTTGATGTACAGTGCACAGCAGCACTTCTATGCTTATGGAAAAAAAAAAGTCATTACCATCACTGAGATCTGAGAACTGGCTCCCGGGGAATTACTGCAGTGTCTCCCACACACATGCTCTTCTTCTAGGCCAGGCAATGAGCAGAGTGGCTCCAGATGCTGCATGCCCACCAAAACCTGCCCAGCACAGCGTGGCTCAGCTGTCCCTGTCCCACCTGTCCCTAGCTGGGAGCTGGCATCACCCTGGCTGAGCAGCAGGAACCAGCTGTACCAGTACCTCTCAGAAGGGCTCCCTATGGCAGTACATCACCTCGTCACAGGGCTCAGCAGCCCCCAGGGGAACTCCTGTACCTGCAGGGCGGGTGGCAGTGCTGCCAGGCTGCTGGGACAGGAGGGGAGCGCTGCTGGGAAGCGGTGCTGTTCTGGCAGCGCTGGTGGAAATGCTGACAGGATGTGGAGTTATCTTGGCAGGGTGACGTTATCATCTTGGCAGGGTGACGTTTGGCCACACATCACCTGAGGGCCTGGACTTCTTCCCTCACCCAGCCCCCCTTACTCACAAGTTTTCAGTAACCTAGGCAGCCGTCTTCCTTATTGGCAATTAGTCATAACCATTACACGGAAAAAGATTTTTTTTTTTCCTAGGCACTCTAGCAGACTCCAATCACATTAAACCCTGGCACGTTACTGCACCAAACCCACAAATATTTTAGGTTAAAATACTCGGAAAGCCCCCAACGCCTCACAGCACTTCCCTCACCAGCTCAGAGTCGGGCCGCAACAAACCTTTACAACTCTCACAAGCACAACCCCGACCCGCACGGAACATTCCCGTGACAGCTGACAGCCGCCCGAACCGCCGCACCTCCGGGACTCGAACCCGCGGCCCCGCCGCCGCCCGCAGCTCCGGAGCCGCCCCGGGCACAGCGGGGGCTCGCACATGGGCGCGGGGCTTTCGGCGGCTCCAGAGAGCGCTGCGCGCTCTCCGCCTCTCAGAAAGTTGTCGAAAAGATGACAGAAGAAAAGAAAAATAAAGAAACGTATATTCTTTAAGAAATTTAATCTTTTAAAGATTTAAATCTTTAAAAGACGCGCTAAACACTTCCCCCCAACACCCCCGAAGCGGCTGCTTACCGCGGCCGGGACTCCCGCACCACCTCCTCCGTTCTCCGTCACCTCCAGCTGCGGGAACGGCCGCGGCCCGGCCCCGCTCCGCCCGGCTCCCCGCCGGCTCCCCCGGCGCCGCCCCGCGCTCACTGCCGGCCCCGGGCAGCCGCAGAGCGAACCCAGCGCCGGGAGGCGGCCCCGCATCGCCCCCGCGGCCCCTCCGCCCGGGGCTGCGGGAG